CGATCCAATATCATATCAGGTTTGGTACCCGAAATTCTAGATTGTCGTTCGGATACACCAAATAATGTTGCAGGGCGCATCCCACTGGCCTCTTTCTTGGGTGGTGCGGCTGGCGCAGGAGGAGCGGTAGTCGCTGGAGCAGATGCCTGACGGTCGAGCGTGGGTCTCTCAGATAGTTGTCGTTCTGGGGGTTGTTGAGAGGCTGCTCTGACCGGAGGTGCCGATCGAGTAGAAGTTCGCAGACTTTTGCCAGCAGATTCGCTGGTTGCCCTCGGGGGGGCTTCGTGGGGTAGCTCTCTCCTTGTCCTCGTTCGTACGCTCTGAGAGGCCGAAAGCGCAGGTTCCGGAGCTGGACGCGGCTTCACAGGAGGCGCAGGCCCGGCAGGTCTGTGTTGCAATCTTTGTTGCGCAGCGAAGCTCTGTGGTGGTTGGCGCAGTAGGCCTACTGGCGCTCTTTGGCTGGTAGACAAAGGATCCTCAGTCGCAATGCTTGCCTGGGCCGCTATCGATGCTGTATACCTGGCCTTGATCTGCTGTTGTTCCTTGAGCCATTCTTCAAAGGGTCTGTACACAATGCCTTCCTCAAGTGGAATCAAGGGAGTCAAGCCAGCCTTCTCTTCGGCAGCCATTTCTTTCCAGGTCTGCGTGTGAACAACCTGTACAGGGGCGAAAGGACCAATACCACAGTCCCGACACATATCCTTGAAATTTCTGTAAGATTGTGCTTGAAGTGAGCTGTTCATGCGTGTGGCGTAGAACTCTTCACGCTCTGGTGGAACTTCCCTCAACCGAGAAGTCATCTCTGCTTCGGTAGGCATATAGCCACATGTGAAGAAAGGGTGCTGAATGATCTCTTCCGGTTCCGGTCGACTTTCAGCATCCTGAAGCATATTGGCAACTAGCTCCTTAGCTTCTTGGCTAATATATCTTCGAGATGTCTCTGCAGACGGCCAATCGTAATCCCTCTCTCGAGCTCGGCGGTAAATTTCATCCGTAGTCGAAGATTGAAAGGGCGGTTTCGAGGTGAACATGGCAAACCTTGCAGTGTTAGCTTTGTACGTGACTAGAAACCCTTTAGTCTTACATGATGATGCCCAAACTCCAGATATCAACCATGTGGTCGTGGCCCTTCTTTCCCTTCTCGAGAATTTCAGGAGCGATGTAGTTTGGTGTTCCGCAGAGAGTTGTTCGACGAATGGTGTGCATATCTCTACCGGTCACTAGAAGAGCGGCAAGTCCAAAATCGCCAATCTTTGCGTTCATATGGGAGTCAAGGAAGATGTTTCCCATCTTGAGATCACGGTGAATGATGCCTTTGTTGTGCATATACTTGATCGCGCCAGCGATTTGGACCGAGTAGAAGCGGACCTCAGGCTCGGTGAGTCCTTTCCTTCGCTTCACCATATCCATCAAGGAACCATTGGGGCACAATTCGAGAATCAGGTAGGTGCACTTTTCGTATGAGAAGGCCCGCAGAAACTGGACAACATTCTTATGCTTCATCTTGGAATGGATTTGAAGCTCGGTTTGAAACTGGACGCGTTAGATTAAGCTGCTTGCCTTCCACTTCCCACCCTATTTCACGTACCTTCTGCTCCATCTTGGGAGGCATGTGGCTTTTGACAATCTTGAGGGCAAATCGCTGCTTTGTGGGGAGCAGCTGGCCGCTGTAGCAAACAGCAAATCCACCCTTTCCAAGTATCTTGCCAACCTGGTAGGTTGCTCCATCAGGTCGATCGGCACTTGGTGGTTCTGGAACTTCTGTCGGGGGAGGAGGAGGGTGTTCCTTCTCCTTGACAGCCTTGAGCTGTGCAGCGGTTTTCGTTTTGATGTCGGCCATTTTCGGTACGCGTTGGACGTTGGCGTCCCTTGGAGACAAAGCGTCTAGATCTACGCCGCCTCGGGGCACTAGCCTATGGGCCATTACTATGAAGACACTCTCTGATGCTGGTTGCCGGATGCTGAAAGGGTCGTCGATAAATCGTGGTCAGGGTGACGAGCAAGTTGTGAGGTTAGCAACCGCGTTGAGGAATCGCGAGCGTCAGACTACAGGAGACAATTAGCGACGGGCGCAAAGCGAGTCTAGATTTGATAATTGTGTGTATGGGTCTGAAGGATACGTGACAGTAAGCCTGAACAAGGGGATGAAACTCACAAGACTCGCGACGACAACATGCAAGGTAAGGAACGATCTTGGCCTGCTCGCAAAACAGAACAAAGGACATTAAGCAATAATGAATCTGAGGCGACGCCTTTTATAAGCCTGCGGGTTAGTATCTGCGAGAAGCAACCGAAGAATGAAGCTGGACGAAGAAAAGTCAAAGGTCCTGAAGCCACAATCGGTTGAGTTGGTTTGTGTACTTTCTCGGAGGACTGTTGCCGTTGACAACCAAATTTGCCCAGTGGAGCATGACCAGCCAATGAAATAACATCACACTTTCTACTACCCAATCAGAGAAATATCATCTCTCAAGGATGTGACTGTCTTGTGTCCGTATTTGTTTGGCCTTAGTTTATGGTAATAGGGCGGTCAATTGACTTCGAAGTGCTCTAATGTCTCTTCAAAAAGACAAAACAAGTTAGTCATTCTACAACATCTTTAACCGGCTCTTTGCTTGTTTGTTTGTTTGTTTTTGTATCTTAAGCTTACATCTTAAGGTTTCTGCTGTCCCCTAGCCAGCCAATATTGACTTGATTGAATCAATTTTCGTATTGTTGTGCATGTCTATCGTAAGTCTAGTAAGTCGTGGCTGTCTAATTCATCGGAGAAGAGGTGGTATATAAAAATAAGGGTATCCATAAGGTCATAAATACCCGAGTAAACCAGACATGATTTATCGATTTGCTTCAATTTTGATGGCGAGTCTCTCCCGGGTATTCGAATTCCAAGGTCGTTGCATTTTCTTATCAACAAGTTTCCTATCGAATCTGATCTTTCTCGTCTGCAGGGAGCTCCGTTGAGTTGCAACCTATCTGGTTATAGATCACGGTTGTACTCTACCCAGAGGCTTCTGCTCGATTTTAGTTTCGATGCATCATAAGGCTTGCAACGTTGGGAGCAAGGGTTGCTTCGTCTTGGGATCTTTGAGCCCACGCAGGGCTTCTTCGAGACTCTCATATCGTTCCTTCTGCTTCTTTTCCGCCTCTTCAAGCTCCTCCTCCCTCTTCCTGAGCTCTTCTAACTTTTGGTCCAGCTCTTCTATCCGTATTTTATTGATATCAGGCTTCTTCGATGTCCTCCAGGTTTCGTAGACAATAAGAGCGATGGCCACCGAAAGAATGAAGGCATCGCCAATAACGTCGGCGAACAAATCCACTGCCTTGTTTTCTGGCAGCGATCTAAATTTTCGTCGCCAGATGTTTTGAAAGGTTAAACCGCTCTTGATAATTTCTGGCTTCTGCTTAAGTTGATCTTCGCGTTTCTGCTGCTCTTCCGTTTTGACTGTCGGTGCTGCGGCTAATTCCTTTGCTCTTCGCTCCGCTTCTGGGTCTCGCAATAACGCAACCGACATCCGCATGTTCAATTGATGCATGTATTGTCCATAACGGGCAGCGAATGCTCGGAATCGAGGGTGATCGTGAGCTTGAGCCTTTATGTGGTTCTGTTGCGTTGTCAGTCTGTCATCTCCATACGGGAAACCAAAGTTCGTACCGCGCCATACTTGGAGACATGCCTCACTAGCAGTGATGCAAGCTTGAAGAGGGGAAGAGGAACCATGGTTGATGGTGGTTTGGGAAGTCTTGGCTCCAGGATGAATAGCTGCTTGTGCCAAGTTGGTTTAACTAGATGTTGAATATTTGGTGGTGGTGGTGGGGCTTTCACGATAGAGGGTCGTCGATCATTAATTGATCAATTGGCGCTTCAAAGCATGTGAAACGTCCAACGCTAAACAAGGTCAAAGATATTATTAGTAATGTTAAAAACCAGCGGAATTGCATATCAACAGTGAGGGCATTGCAACATTAAGTACTACACCTCAGTAGATATTTAAGCTTAATGGACTGCCGTCCCCGGAACCGTGATGTTCCGCGCTGACGTTGAAGAAACTACTAGTCTAGAATAGTTACCAGCAAGCTCCCAAACCTTTAACTGGTTCATGGGATATCTTAGCGTTTTGGCCTACTAATCTGTGCAGTCACTTCCTAACTAGCAGGAACTGTTCAAGGTGGAGAAACTGCCGCATCTTATTGCACTTCCAGAAATAGTAAATTTGAGTCGCTAATTACCATTAGAGATATCAGAAAACTTGGCTAGCAGATGTACAAAATACTCAATTGATGAGTTAGTCTATATCACCTTATTAGAGCCGGTATTTGAGTCGCCTGTTTTCAGTATCCCGAGCTTAGAGCCTATTTTTATTATCAGCAGCTACCGGGTAGCAGAAAAGTTAGCATCCCAAGTCTTAGTATATAAAAATAAGTAGCATGCATCTGACCCCGAAGTGCAGTTTTGTGCTGTCTAGGAGCCATAGTCTAAAGGGCATAAACTGACCTACTAATTTTGTCTTTATGTTTCCAGCGGCTAATTTTTCTGATACCCTGAGGCCCAGTTACCCTGCCACTATCTATAAAAGCAGGTAGGAGCACTTTCACTTACATACTATCTAAACCACAGTTTTGAACTTCTTAGCCATGTACTTTGCTTTCTGTAAGGTATTTATGCCGTGGGGTATTCCTTAGTTAGGTTCGTACGTGGTAATATGTAGGAGACGCTCCGAGCCTGTGTTGTGTGTCTGATTAGGTCGTTCCTTCCGCATCACCTTCCATAATGCAATATCTTCATGTCATTCGATGTCCGCATCAACACTCATTGTCACCCATTTTCTCCACTCCATGCGAAGCTGTCACCTCTTCACTTCGCGTCAAAGGTTCGGCCAATAATGTTTTCATCATCCTTGCGAAGTCGAAAAGAATGGGCTGCGGTGGTTCCCTCCCTCAAGGCGAGCTCATCTATTTGGAGAGGTCTGTAAGCGATGTGATCAATCTACAAGTTACGCAAAATGCTCACATATCTTGAAGAAACTACGCTGGAAGCATGTGATATCACATTTCCCATCACTGCATCCAACACCACTACTTCTGATTTCAAGGTGATACTCTCGTCCCCGTCTGAGCTCCAGTCTCAAGAGGGAAAGGCGCGTGTCGAAAGGCTGTTCTTGATGCAAGGGGGAGAGCATGTCGCTGTGATATTGCTCTTGGATGGTGAGGATTCAATGTTGGGCTTTTCCAACGTCCAAGCTGAGTATGTGATACACTCATGTGTTGGTGTTGATATTCATACTGACTGGTTGCTCTCAAGATGGCTATGTTGGGACTATGCTATGCCGATGATCCCTATCACTACAATCAAGACCTTGCCAGTCTGTCTCGAATCACTTCAACAAGACTATAGCAAAGAAAGTTCCCAGCCTGATACCGATGCAAACATCGCCAGTCGAGACCTGCTGCGTTGGTGTGTCTGTGGGAAACCGCTATCAAGAGATCAAGTCAATATCTTGACGGAAATCACATCTGGGTTTGGGGATCTTGGCGGCCGTTCTTCTCTTCTAAATGGTCGGGCTGTTATCCGTGAATACCTGGGTAATGAAGATGGTGGACGACTTCTATCATTTCTTACCAATGACTTTTCCAAGACTCAAGGTTAAGCCTGACCATAAAATGCATACGATTTGCAATAGAGAAAAGAATATGCAGGGCAACTGTTGGCTGATACCCATACCAAGGCACCGGGCAGTAACGCTGTACCGGACGATTGGGATGCATCGATGGATATAGCATGATCATCGTCTAATGCAGAATAGAATCTTCCCAACAATTGTTTAAGTTGATCATCCACCCAAGGGCTCGGGTCATGAATCCCTGAAACCAGTGGTGCTGTAAAGTCATCCGAGGCAAAAGCGCCAGGAACAAGCCACAGCGACTACAAGCTTGATAGATTGCATGGCTAACCACTCACAATGGTTCGACAGAAAGAGTCGGTGGAAGGAAACAGTCACAATTTCAAAGTCTTCGATTCGCCAACCGTTCTTGGGACAAGGTAACAATGGATCAACATCTATCCACCTGGTAACGCGGAGTGATACGTATGGGGCTGGCTTACTGGTTAGTGGGTCGATGAGCCAACCAGAGCGACTTTGCAACCGCCGGGCGAGTTCAACCACATTGCGAATTGGGCTTGTATGCTGGTGGCAGGCCTCAGGATTGAATAATCACGCACTATCGGACGAGCCGATACTTTCGCTTGCACGTTTGGGGGCAAATCACACAAGCTGTCGTATTGACTGGTACGGTGACTGAGTAAAAACCAAGCCGCTATTATCTGAAGTGGCATGAGCTGAGTGATAAGTGTCACTAGTTCGACGTTGCGGTCAGGAAGTAAGAACGACGTTATCTATTTCAAGCGATGTAAAATGGTGTTGGAGTTGTGGTTAACAACAAGCGCTCGATCCAAACATTCAAGATCTCTACCAGCGAACAAAGAAAGTTTGTTTCGAGAAGCGCTTTCAGCTGGGGGCGGAGTGTCTCATATATCCATACATTGTTGGACTGCCGACCAACGTGTAATCTGAAGTCGACCAACACCAGATCTCCCCCGGATCCCCATCGGTCGGAGTTTGTTGGACAGGCGTGCTTCTGTGATGTATATCATCACTGGCACAAGCAGCAATGGTATAAAAAAAGAATCCATCCTGCAAGCAGCGGTTACATGAACAGGGATCAGAAAGAAATGGTGGGCGGGTGGAGGGAAAACCGGGGTCAGGGGTCTTCATCGTCCAGCAGCAAGCCAAAACATTACAAGCATCAGTTGTCCCAGCAGATGCTTCATGTGCTATAATCTACTGTCTCATGAGCTGCAATTGGTATTAGCCAAACATCAGAGGTTCATCCCATCCCGGAAAAAGACAGGCTGAAAACTCTGTCAAGTGAAATGAAGCTCATCAAAGGAAATAATAGAGCAATAAGCTCATCGTCCCTCTCAGATCGAGTTATTCCCTCGTCTATCCAGGGCATGCTTTAGCTTGCTGCACCAACCCTCGACCCCTGCTCCATCTCTCTCTACCCGCCCATGCTTCTTGATCGCACATGGCTGCTAAGCACGCCCATTGGCTTTGGCTCTGACATCTAACCGCCCAGGTCAACACCAATTACCAGCCTCCCCTCCACTACGACCGGCGAGGTTATCGATATTCGGCCACGCCTACTACCCAAATGTCCAATCACCAAGCTTCAGAGCTGTTAGCACCCGCTTTAGCTCCAAGCTGATGGGATGTCGGACTGTGACGAGCCGCTGTATCGCATAACTTAAACATCCTAGTCTAGCTCTTTTCTCCGCCTCTACAACGCACCGCCTGTCTTCAACCAGGGCGCTTGCTTGCCTGTGAGGCGAATGCCTCAAAAGATGGACCCAAGAAATGGCGTGGCTCGTGGCCCGACGGTCCATGTTGACCCTGGCTCATATGTAGATGACTGCGTTGCATTGGCCTAGAATTTCGATGCTAAGAGAGAGGCGCATTTTCGCTGTCGTCGTCGATTTTCTTGGCCTTTTCTTAAAAGTCTCAGGCTGCCCTCCCCTTCCCACTCCCTGGTCCATCTTGAAAACGTCGTAACGTCTCAGAAAACTCCTGAGTATCATCGCCTCAACTACTCATACAATCTTGCAACTACAATACCCGGGACAAGACGAAGCCGTGACTTGATGAGACAGATACGGCCTTGAAACTATCGCCACCATCCTTCCCAGAGACAACCAAACCGAAACTATTATACAATGTTGTGTGCATGCTAGAAAGTCGAGAGCGTGGATCTGCCAACCAACTTCCGCGACACCATCGGCTTCACAACCATCCGTTAACATATCGTCTCACGCCAGCGTCTCAAAGCTCAAGTATCCGCTTGATCCACATTATCTTGGCCAACCTCAACCTCAACCTTAACGCATCGTTATATCCATCAAGGGCCCTTCTCTCAGTTGATATTACCTGCCCTTCGCCCTTTTATCGTCTTTGTCCGATCATTCGCTTCTTTCTGTCTGCTGGTCTGACAGTTACCTTTCGTTTAATACTTTTCTTTTATTCTTTCGTTTGTTAATTCTTTTCGCCGCTGGCCGGTCTGTAATACCATATCAATACCAAGCCCGGACAGCAGTGTTGGAGCAGCAATACGAATAGACGACAATTCAACGAAAGACGCAAGGAAACAGGCAATCGGCAAAGAAAGAGCAAGGCAACTTAATTTGGACTCAACAATCATCCATCATCCATCATGGGAAAACTCATCAAGAACCACTGGGCCCGCCTCATCATTTTGAGTGCTGCAGCCTGTAAGTTTATTCTTTTATGAAAAGATGACTCCCAACGTTTACTAACTCTGTTCCTCCAGACCAAGTCTTGGCTGCCATCGAGTGCTTCTTCTGGCCCAAGATCTTCTGGGACTTCCTCACACGCTCTCTAGACGGCGCAGTAAAACCTGTTCCGGCTTTGCAGATAATAAATCTGATCATGGGACTGGCCATGCTATGTCTTGAATGGCCTCTTAATTTCGTCGCTGGTTCTGCCCTTCATCGCTCATTGGAGTTCCGCCTGGCCATCATTCCGCTCACGGCACTCAGTGCTGCTCTCATTTACCAAGGCACAAACTCTGCTATCTACTACCTCATTGGCATGGTCGTATATTTCTGGGGTTACAGTGAAGGAGAGGTGAGTTTTGACTACTATAGCAAGAAGCTCAACTCGAACTAACGTACTTTGTCTAGATGATATGTGCAAAGCCTTGGACACTACCCACTCGTGGACGCAGCGGCGGAGCATCTCGTGCATAGTCGCGACTTCCCACCATGAATGTATTATACATATACATACTACAATATACAGGCGAGGTACAGAAAGAATTCTTGACTGAACATCTTCTGGGCTTCGATTTTCTCAGGAACGATGCACTACACATATACCCTTTGCGGCGTTTGGCGATCTTATGATATATACGACTACCAGTACTACACGCTGTGCGAGTCATCTTGCATCGATGAGGTGGACTGGGTCTTGATTTGATTTTTGGTATTATATTGGCATAACCAGCGTGGTGACGTTGGTGGAGGATATTGGGATAGCAAAGACATTATTCGCCGTCGATTCTTGAGGAACGTCGTGTGGTCGGGAGGCGAGGCACTGGGAAGGACACCACATTCACTGGCTCTAGAGATTTCGATAGAGCCTTTCATAACTCCTGGGCTAATCAGCCTACCGAAAAAAAAAAAATAGAACCTAATACTATCAAAATATTTTCAAAGTTCTCACGTGTACCTGACCGTTGTTTGGCTGTTTTACGGCTGTTTCCCGAGAAGCCAAGCCGGAAAGACGCCAGCCGTGATGTTTAAAACGCAGTGAAACGGCCAGGGCCCTCATAAGTGAATCGAAACTGGATCTGTTTACACATACTTTGCCAAGATGCTGTGTTGGGCGCAATTTCCGAAACACCCCTTGTCGGATCTATTAACATCGTTATAGCAGCTGCTATATAGCGCTGTTATTTCAATAAGAGCAAGATAGGTAGTTTATAACCAGGAACGTGCATGGATCATGTTCACCTGCGAAAAGTGCAACCTGCGTGACCAGTGTAGAATATAGAAATGAATAAATAGAAAATAAAAAACGTTTTATTAACAAAGCAATCAGCTGACAGATAATAAATATCACGGCATATGCATGACTGTGAGATGCATCCGCGCAGAACGGCTGTACACTATGAATTAGAATCACCCATGATAAAGCTAGACTAGATGATATTCGGCCCATGGCCTATTGAAGGCAAAGGGACGTGCAGTTAATTATACTACGAAAGCACTGCGTGACAAGCTTTCTTGTGAACAGACTCTGTTTCAATTGATGTTCAATTGTGTGACAGACGAAAAGCATTACAACACCATATCACTTCACGTAAAAATATAAATAAATCATAGGACACTACTTCGTGATAGTCAAATATGAAAGGCTTGTTGTAATCTATGAGGCGCTATCATCAATCATGCCCGTCTCTCAGAGCATCAAATCGTGTGTTGCTTGTTAGTGATCCCGATCACCTATCACTATGATCGTGGACCAAGCTACCTGCCCAACAACAATTGCCAACCATTTCGGACGAGACTAACGTTGTTGTTCAAAACAACCGCCCAGTTCGTCGTACTTGACTTCGCGCTAAACCTGAGAAAAACCCTAACGCCCGCTGCATGGTACATCGTCTGGCACCCTGCTTACTTCTAGTGGGAGATGAGAGGACCCTTGTTGTCGTTCTTGTTGCCTTGACGCTCGGGGAACTGTATATAATGTCAATACGAAATTTGTTGTCATGTATGGAAGCAGTGCCTTACCTCAGTGGTCTGAGTATCGCCCTTCTCGAGGATCTGCTTAATGACATCGTCATCGACAGAGGTACCAAACTCGTTCTCAAGAGCGGCCTTGGAAGCTGCGTCGAGTGTTCCCTGGACTCCTTGTCTGATAAGATGTTAGCTTCGATATCAGGCATTTGGGCTGTGCCCTTTCTGGTAAGGAAACTACTCACCCGTGTGTGCAGAAGATCTTGAAAGAGGAGATGAAGTGAGCCAGAGGGATGCTCTTGTCGGTCTTCCACTTCTGGTAGGTCTCGATATCGTCAATGAAGATGACAAAGTCATCACTGCCCTTGAAGTGGACCTTGGTCTGCTGAGTCTCGCCGCGAGCCATTGTGAATGATTGTGTGGAAGGGAGTTGTGTTGGTGGTGTTGTGATCGACGTGAAAGAGTCGTTAGATTTGGGTATCGAAGTGATGTTACTTTGAAAGGTGAGGATGAGAATGAAGAGGGGAAGGAAGTGAGGGGGAGAGGCACGTTCGGAGGTTTAAAAGGTAGCTCAACGAGGGGAGCAGTGACGAATGTAGCTTGCTGGAAAGAGCTACCTACGTCATAGCCGTACTCTACAAGGTGTACAAGGTGGGCAAGTGGGTACCTAGGTACCTTACGTGCTTGGTGCTTCCACCGCGGGGCTAAAAGCCAGCCAGGACCATTAATCTGACCAACCGCAAGAGAGGATTCAGCCTCCAAATGCTTTGCCAGGTCAGAAGTTGCTCGTCTTATTCCTTCACGTTCCTGCATGTTTTGCACCCACCACGTACGTCACCGTATTTCGAGTAGAACCAAAGCAAAAAGAAGACACCTAGTCTACTTGCTACATGGCAATGGTAATGGAAGCTTTTGGATCTACCGGTCGCGTGCCCAAGCAAGCAACTCCTCGTGTAAGCATTGGCTGTATGTAGTGGAACCTAGACCATGTTGTGTTCTTCTTCCACCTTCCACGCCAGGTACAAATCACTTGATCCTGTGGAATATCTCATTGCCTTGGCATGCATACATACACGGCCTTCATCGTGGCCTCATTTGTCTGGCGTACCAAGATAATCCAGGTTACTTGGTGCCTGATGCCCAGTTTCTAATTCCGTAGTACGAGATACCCGAACATCATGATTTTCCACATTCAGCAGAATGTGTGATTGTGTTCCAATGTCAGCAAACTTTATGCAAAGTGCGTATCCTCGACATCAAACTCGAGTTCTTGTACAATCAACAAACAAACATCACCTTGAAGCTCTGGTCTCATTTGCGGTATGAGTTGCATGAATATTTGAATTTGGCTACGTTGTTCTACACAGTCCCTCTCTCATAACATACGCATCTACCCTGAAGGTATATTCAACACCGCCATTGGCCATGGAACAACCTCTTAATGGAAGAACCTACGAATACCAGTATGCTTTTTTCCACTGCCTGGACTTTGTGTTCCCACCCATGGAGTATCACTGGTTTGTACTCCCCTACTCACCCAAAAGGCAGAGCTTTCTTTTTTGGCAGGACTATTCTCTTTCACCTGCGTTCGCGGTGAGTGTGTTGGGAGTTTGTTAATCACGGGTACCCCTCTAACCTTAGCCCCCCCTGATTCATCCTGGAGCTGCTTCTTTGACATAATTGCTATCAGGTCAAGAGGTTCAAGTTCGGATATTTGTGTAAGCTCGAGTCTTGGAGATTGAGTATCAGGAGTGTGACACTCCTCCCTAACTTCTTGGGTCTCTGGGGAAAGAGAGCTTCTTGTCGTGTAAGAATGCAAGCTTCCTTCATGGAAATTATTATCGAACACATTATTGCCACTGTCGCTTGAGATGCTGGTGTGCTGAGCTTGTTCGTCGCTTGATAGGTCTTCGATAATTTTGCGCTTCACACTTCCTGATCGTTTAGCCATGCTTGACACGCTCAACTTCCTCATTACTGTCGATGCCGACCTTCTGATCGCCTGCTCATTCCGGGCGACATTTTTCATTCCAGGAAGTGGGAGGACACCATGACTCCAAACGTCTGCCACAAGTATCTCAAGCCGAGCCCTTTCACTCCGAGATGGCACCAAAACTGGAGTTCTCGCTTTCCTTGTGGCCAACGAAGATTGTGAACGATTGAGTCTAGTCCCTGCGCTAGTAGAATTACTAGATCTCATAGCACACGTGTTTTTGAGGATGAAGTGAAAAGTAGACGACTCAGACTCTCTAGCTGAGGTACGATGAGTCGACAAGCTTCGTGCAATCGTCCCTACACCTATTAGTAACGGAGATAATGCCCATGGAGAGGAACAAATATACCGGGCCTCCCAAAGATAGCACCCAAACTCATAATATCGACTGAAAGAAATGAATTGAAACCCGGAGCTCTTGTACTCGAATCTGAGCTAAAGGGTTGGCATAGCCGGCTTCGCCATTCGCTTTCCTCTGTGTGTGTACAAGCCGTCATGACAATTTCATACAGCTGATGATCAATTTTAAAGATCAATTTCCATGAGAAAGGCGCTAGGTGACATTGTAAGCCTAGAGAAAACCCGTGTCAGTGCTGGAATTCAGTCACAGAGGGTATGACCTACCACGCCTATTATCGACATCCTCAATAGTTGTGCTATGTATATCGATGCAGGCCAATACGGTGTAGATCGGATCATACCTCCCACCACCGGCAAGACAAAGAACATCATTGTAGAGCAAGCAGATCATGTACTGGCCATCAACACCTGTTGATGTCTGCCAACAGATATGTAGGACCCCACACAACTGTATGTGTCCAAATGAGCGCACCTGATTTTTCGAGTTCGCATCTAGTCTCTGATCGAGCGTTAGCTGCATGAGATGATACGGCGCCTGTAGAACACACCCTGTTGGGAAAGACAATACGATCCTGCAGTAGCCAAGTTTTCTCAAGTGTCTCCTTCATCAAATTGTCATCAGTCGAGCGATTGATTACGGATGTAGCTTCGCGGAGCCTCATCAACGCAGTTTCAACTTCCATGTGAGAATTCGGACAATCGATGACGGGAGTACATCTCAACAACTCTGCGAACAGAAGGGGGTATCTGCAAACTCTCTGGATGGGCTGATGACAGAATGTCAGTTGTTGAAGAAGAAATAGCTGGAGGGCATACCTTGACAAGAAGATCCCCTATAGTAAGTGACTTCCTATTATTGCACGACGGCGAGGTGCCAATAGTGAACGCAAACGCTTCAAGGCCTTTCTGATGCGTTTCCCATTCGGGAAGACTTTCAAGGGCCGAGGTAACATCCTTGATCATTATCTCATACTTTGCGCCATATTCCCTATACACAAAGAATTGATGCATCTTGCGACAATGAATTAGCCGTGTGTCGAATTTTTGAGAAGGGTAGCTTACCCTCTTGCTGAAAATCTTCGCTGTTTCCGCTGCTATCTGTGGTTCGGAAAACATGCCAGGCTCCTTTTCGAGCCTCTGGAGGCTGACCTGATCTTCTGGAAGTACATCCAAACTGCCCCACCGACGATGCCCGGTTTTGGGGCCGATTATCTTGAAGGGCGCAATAAGGTGATGAGCTTGGCTGTATTCGGAGTCAGGAACTACTCTGTGCAGTTTGCCTAGTATTTCTTCATGTAATTGTAGGATACGGTCCAGGTTGTGGTTGATGGACGACCGTAGTCGCTCGGGCAAAGTAGGAAGAGCGGCAAGCATGTTGATGTAAGTCTAGGCCTTGTCAGTAATCGTAGAAGTAAGGAACGGAGAACCGACCTACATGGATGAGAAAGCGAACATCGCCGATATAGCCTTCCTCTGTACTTATAAGCTCCTCTAGGATTTGTCGGCGTCGTTGTGAACGGTGCATCTGGGCAACGTCTACATTCACCTTTTCTAATTGAATACTGTCCTCAGAGAATCGGGGGACAGACAAGGAAGCTCGACTGCTTTGCTCAGCCCGTGAACGACAACGCGAACGACCATGGTGTCGGCGCGAGCGCGAGACAGCACTGCCGCTAGCAAGACTGATACTGGCACTTTGGACTGCAGCAATCAAACCAAGAGAGGACCCAGAAGATGAGAGCCGACGGCTTAGCTTGCGATGGAGTGACTGTTGATAAGTTCGGTTGGACTCGAGGTATTGCCATCCTGCATCAGGAGACCATATTGCCTCTTCGTGGTCTCTATGGCCCACTCGCCGTTGCAGAGATCTCATCCATTTGTGAAACGGTTGCCGAGAGTTTCTATCACCGGAACATGAAGTCTTATAGGAGGATTCTTCGGAGAGGTCGATGCGTGTTTGTGAGCCAGAAGACACGGCCTCTGGATTTGATACTCTCTCAGGAACTTTGCTCTCGGTACTGATCCTGTTTGAGGAAGTGAAAGCATTTATACCGTTGAGAGGTGGACACTCCAAACTTGGAGATGAATTGATGTCGTATAAACTGGGCGGACCAGCATGAGCATCGAGGCGTGATAGATATGGAGAACCCGCGGTCCAACTGAAATACCGTGTACTATGAATATTGTGAGAGACGTCAGGCCAGGTCGGAAGGTTCACGAGAGCCATGACGGAAAGAGAGTCACTAGGTAAAGTACAAGAAAGTAAAAAGTGCTTGTTCCAAGAAAGCCAAACAACACTCGAAAGATCCAGCCTCAGACGTATGGCTGACACATGGCCGTGATGATGAATGATAAAGAAGAGTTGATAAGACGTGTTCAAACTTCAAGCAGGGATCAAAGGAGGAGTTGCTCAATGGCGACAGGATCTTGTTAGGAAGTCACGATACTGAGGCAACTGCTTCCCTATAGATACCTACCTACCTACCTGTCACCCCGGAACAAATGTTCGGGGACCCTTCTTCCCGAATAGAGTATCAAATCGGGCAGGAAGGAGCTGACCGGCCGCAAAAATGATTTCGACCGAACATGTCGCCCGAAAGCGACAAATGCTTAAACTCTACAGTGAGGCTGTCTCACAGGACCATGTCGACTCGGACGCAAGTGAGTTCCCACGAACCCAGGTCGAGTCACTGTATTCGGTACAGCCGGTGATGATCAGCTCAAGTATCACAGCTGAGATGTAGTGATGCAGAGAGGCGCCTGCAGGATCTCATTGGTCTATAAAGAGGCTGGAAGTACTCGGGATGCCAATATTGATGCCCAGCACAACTGCACTGATAAAGCGATGCAGTAAGACTGAAGTCAGGACTTGTTATATCTATTGAAAGGCCTCGACCGTGCCAAGTCTGGCTGGAATCGTCGAATCCATGGCATGAATACAGAAGCTTTGGACCCTTCAGCTGGCATCGTCTTGATGTTGGCTTCGTGGCTTGCAGGAGTTTTGCAGCCTTAGCGACCTAACGATGGTAGAGTAACTAATGTAGTATTGTCGTCCATGCCGGAAGTGTGGTATGTAGTCCGCAGAACTACCCGACTGAGGCGACGAGAAGCTTCCCGGTCTAGAGAGCTGTGCATATAAAAAGGCTGGGAGGCTGAATTTGAAACGCGGAGCACGATATGTATAACCACCATGCTTATGGGATGATGATTGGACAGTGATCATATATGCTCAAGTGATAATAAGGTTGAGGATCAGGACTTTTGTCGCGGAGCTAATCAAGTGATGAATTCGCATGCGCTTAGGCTATTCTGTGAATATATGGTCATGAACCTTAATGGATTGCATAACATGCCTTTGATCAGTGATGATTGCAAACTTCATCCTCTGGGGAGAACAAGGGGAAAAATGCAATCAAGTATGATTGGTACTGCAAGACAATAGAACTAGCATGGAGCTCCTAAAAAGTTTGCGACGATTGGATACAAAGACTCACAAGATTCGTGGAGACTCCTCTTGGTGCTAACCTTGGTGAATTATTGTGAGGACTGTGGGCATGATGATATATGAGCATACCATCCCTGCTGGCCATCGACGAACCCTGTGATCCGAATTGAATTTAGGTTTAGATCTATGTAAGAGCCTTACCATGTAGAGATCTCACCTGAGAATGAGTCGTATCATGTACATATGCTTTCATCCGAGTCGGGTTCGAGGCCAACATGGCTATAGCCAAGCCAGATTCCGAGTCAGTCGGCCACACCGGGCCGAGATCACGAATTTTTAGAGAAAGAAGCTTACGAATCCTCTGGATAATTGTGCTGTAGTTATTCTCCACACTATCTCAGTTACCTATTGTCATTTACAACTTCGATTGGAGAGAACGGCATGCCGGCAATCGTCGACTTGGCATATATGCTCGGCAAGTCAAAAGCCAGGTTCTCTCCTTGTGTTGATGTAATGTGCAAGCCAGGTACTATAACTGGCCTGGCAAGTCTGGCTCGGCATCGTGGCGGTGCAAACACAGGCTAATCTCAAAAGAGGAAAAGTCAAGCCGGGGTTGAGGGTGGAAGAACAGTCTTGAATCGGGTTTCAGGGGACTTCGTACCTGGCTGAACTTGTTTCCAGGGGGTTACAGTCCTCCATGTCCCCTAGGCTGTCCGCCCGGATTGTGGGGATGCGCTACTGTAACGCTAGAAGACAGGAGAGACAATGCCGACTGCCCGAGATGGAAACGAACACGTTGAACTTTTTTGGTGACGAAGCTGTTTGACTCTACTCAACTCGAGGTTTCAAACTGACGATGGAAACGGAAAGGGATGGTTTTACGACCTAAGTGATGCCTGTCTAGTGTCAACTTTCTTCGTTTTAGATTTATTTATACAGATATTCAAGTTTTTGCGTGTATATAGAGAGAGATGCAGATAATTTCAGTTTATAATCAATGTCCGGTCCTGAACAAGGTTAAAGGTTGCCACGTGCGGGCCCTTCCATTCTAATCGCCTTGCCTTTCCTGTCTTGACAAATCTACTGTTCCATCCGGCGGACTACTACCACGACAGGAAGTCGGTGATTATTGCCTCCGTGTCTTTTCTTTCTCTCACGCACCTTCTTTCTTTTCATCGTTCTTTTCAACTTTGCATAACCTTCTCTTACCTTGCTTGCTTCAAGGTACTTCTTCCGTATCCCATCGGTACCTGCTTTAGCGCAAGATACATTCGACTCTTCAGTACACGAGACCGGTTTAGCCTTATCTCGAGCGCCCCCTCGCGCATTGTCTTCGTGATGGAGACCGCCTTCGCGAAGCCGGCTGGCGATGTCCTCGCCAGCTTCAACGTGAACGAGAATACTGGCCTTAGTGACGCGCAGGTCACCGAATTGCGCAACAAACATGGGCGTAATTGTACGTCAACCTCTGCTATCTGCCAGCAAGCCCCGCCATCAACCCGAACAGTGTTCTAACCTTTGATAGCCATCCCCGAGGAGCCTCCCACTCCCCTCTGGGAACTCATTCTCGAGCAATTCAAGGATCAACTTGTCATCATCCTTCTCGGTTCCGCCGCTGTATCTTTCGTTTTAGCCTTGTTCGACGAGGAAGAAGGATGGAGCGCCTTTGTCGACCCTATTGTTGTATGTACATTGCTTCTGGAAACGATATGTTTCAACCTTCCTGAGCAAGCCGCTGACCTATTAGATCCTTACCATCCTCATCCTCAACGGTGTTGTCGGAGTCTCCCAGGAAAGCAGCGCCGAAAAGGCCATTGCCGCTTTGCAAGAATATTCGGCCAACGAAGCCAATGTGGTACGAAACGGTGGTCAGGTCTCACGAGTAAAGGCTGAAGAGCTGGTGCCCGGTGATATTGTTACTGTACACATTGGTGACCGTATCCCCGCCGATTGCCGACTTGTCTCTATCGAAAGCAACAGTTTCTCTGTCGACCAAGCAGTTCTTACTGGAGAGAGTGAGAGTGTTGGAAAGCGCGCTTCTATAGTTATCGAAGATGACAAGGCCGTTCTACAGGATCAGACCAACATGCTGTTCTCCGGAACAACAGTGGTTACTGGTCGCGCTCGAGCCGTCGTTGTCCTCACTGGTTCCAACACCGCCATTGGAGATATTCACGAGAGCATCACTGCTCAGATTTCGGAACCCACCCCCTTGAAGCAGAAGCTCAACGATTTTGGTGACAAGCTAGCCAAGGTCATTACTGTCATCTGCATCCTGGTCTGGCTCATCAACATCCCCAACTTCAACGACCCTAGCCACGGTAACTGGACCAAGGGTGCCATCTACTATCTGAAGATCGCTGTATCTCTTGGTGTCGCCGCCATCCCCGAGGGTTTGGCTGTTGTTATCACCACCTGCTTGGCCCTTGGAACGAGAAAGATGGCTGCGAAGAACGCTGTGGTCCGAAGCCTTCCCTCTGTTGAGACTCTTGGAAGCTGCAGTGTCATCTGCTCTGACAAGACTGGTACCTTGACCACCAACCAAATGAGTGTGAGCAAGGTTGTGCACCTTAACGAAGACGGTAGCGATCTTAGCGAGCTTGATGTTGAGGGCACTACTTTCGCTCCCCGAGGATCCATCAAGGCCAACGGTGTCGTTGTTCGGGACCTTCACGTCACATCCAACACAATCCGTCAAATGACCCAGGTCGCGGCCATCTGCAACGACGCTCAGCTTGCCTACGATTCTCAATCTGCTACCTTTTCCAGCGTCGGTGAACCCACTGAGGGTGCTCTTCGAGTTCTGGTCGAGAAGATTGGACCTTGTGCTCCCACCGATAGCCGCCCCGAAGATTGTGTCCACTATGCCAGCGCTACCTACCAGAAAGAACTTCCCCGTCTCGCCACATACGAATTCTCCCGTGATCGCAAGAGCATGTCCGTCTTGGTTGGCAGTGGCAGCAACAAGAAGCTTCTGGTAAAGGGTGCCCCTGAATCTGTCATCGATCGCTGCACTGAGACCCTCGTTGGCTCAAATGGCAAGAAGGTCCCCCTCACCAAGAAGATTTCAGACCGTTTGATGACTGAGATTGTACGATACGGCAACAATGGTCTCCGAGTTATCGCCCTCGCCAGCATTGACAACGTGCCTGAGAACCCTCTCCTCCAGACCGCCGATTCTACCGCGCAATACGCCCAGCTTGAGCAAAACATGACTTTCCTTGGACTTGTTTGCATGCTTGACCCTCCTCGCGAGGAGGTCCCCCACGCTGTTAAGCAGTGCAGGGACGCCGGTATCCGTGTTATTGTTATCACTGGTGACAACCGCAACACTGCTGAGAGCATTTGCCGACAGATCGGTGTCTTTGGCCAGCACGAGGATCTTACTGGAAAGAGCTATACTGGTCGCGAGTTTGATCAACTGTCTCCCAACGAGCAACTCGAGGCAGCCAAGCGTGCATCTCTGTTCTCTCGTGTTGAGCCCAGCCATAAGTCCCGACTGGTTGATCTCCTTCAGTCTCTTGGCGAAGTTGTTGCCATGACTGGTGATGGTGTCAACGACGCTCCTGCCCTGAAGAAGGCTGATATCGGTGTTGCCATGGGTTCTGGAACCGATGTCTCCAAGCTGGCTGCCGACATGGTCCTTGCTGACAGCAACTTTGCCACTATCGAGGTTGCCATTGAGGAAGGGCGCTCCATTTACAACAACACCCAACAATTCATCCGTTATCTCATCTCTTCCAATATTGGCGAAGTTGTTTCCATCTTCCTCACGGCCGCTCTTGGCATGCCCGAGGCTCTGGTTCCTGTTCAGCTTCTCTGGGTAAACCTAGTCACTGATGGCCTTCCTGCCACCGCTCTGTCCTTCAACCCTCCTGACCACGACATCATGAAGCGTCGCCCCCGCAAGCGAGATGAGGCGCTCATTGGCGGCTGGCTCTTCTTCCGTTATCTTGTCATTGGTACATATGTTGGTCTTGCTACTGTTGCTGGATACGCCTGGTGGTTCATGTACAACCCTGAGGGCCCTCAAATCACCTTCCGCCAGCTTACTCGTTTCCACCACTGCTCAACTGAGTATCCTGAGATTGGCTGCGCTATGTTCTCCAATGACATGGCCAAATCGGCTTCGACTGTCTCGTTGTCTATCCTAGTCGTCATTGAGATGTTCAACGCCATCAACGCCCTGTCATCCAGTGAATCCCTCCTCACTCTGCCTCTGTGGAAGAACATGATGCTTGTCTACGCCATCGCTCTGTCCATGGCTCTTCACTTCGCCCTCCTTTACATTCCCTTTCTCCAGGGTCTGTTTTCCATTCTTCCCCTCAACACTTTGGAGTGGAAGGCCGTTGTTCTCATCAGTGCCCCTGTTGTGTAAGTCTCCATTCCTGTCTTCTTTGTTCATAAAGTACATCCAACTAACTCTACGCAGACTTCTCGACGAGATACTCAAGGCAATTGAGCGACAGTTTTTCATGCAGACAACAACCGACGTTTCCCTCAAGACAAAGAAAGAGCAATAGAGAAAAGCAAGCATAGAGAGATGAGGGTGGTGATGCGGTTAAAGCTAGTATTGACTAGAATGTACCATATGGCGATCAGCTCAGAGAGCTGTGATTAGAGCTAGACGGCCACATTGGCCTCCGATACAACAGAATCCCAAGTTTCGTTTTTATGCCATCAGACGTTGACCCAGAACAATAGAGAGCGAGAAGCAATCGATTTAATGTGAAGCAAAGATTGCAGACGAATTTGTTGATATCATGTTAAAGCCAAATCTATGTACAGCCAGTTGGTCTTCCGCTTCCAAAATACTATCATATTTCTTCGTGTAGCAACTCGCCTAAAGTCTTGCTCTCTTCCATAATTTCTCGAGCCTCGCGGGCATTCACATTCATGTCCTCCATTATCAGCTGTACGGCAAGTTCGGCAACCAATACGGATTGAATGAAAGCTGCCGAACCACGCCCGGCAATGACACGATCCTTTGTAGCATTATCTTTCAGTGACTCGCCAAACTCCTCTACGAGGTAGTCGCACATGACTTTGCAACCCCGTGGACCATAATAACCAGGGTTCAAGTCTCCTTCTTTCTTGAGGGACCTGGCCTGTCCTGTCTGGATCTTTTCAGCAAGCATATTGCGGTAATGGGACTCTTTGCCGTCAACAATCTTGGCCAAGTATTGCTGATGGTCTTCGAGTCGTTTCTCAAACCGGTCCCAGTCGATGTGAGGATAGCATCTTTCGCGCCATGTATCCATGGCCGTTTCCTTCTTGTGCTTTGCACAGAACCTTGTCTGCATTCGCACATTCAATCTCTTGCCTTTAGAGTAGTCCTTGAGAGACTGCTCCGAAACAGCATCGCCACACCATGGACATTTAGCCATTCTTTCTTCAAGGCTTTTCTCATCTTCAGGTGGTATCTCATTGGATTCTGTATCGCTGAGTTGATCCAGATCCGATAAGATGGGCGATGAGACACTATCGGCATTGTCACCTTCCAAATCGAAATCCGAATCAATGTCAACCGGATTGATGAATGTCGCAGGTTTATACTCAGGCGTAGGAGACCGCTCCTTCTTTTTTGGTTTTTTATTTTTGATCATCTCAGGCACTCGGAAGACGCCCCTTTCACGGGAACTTGACTCTTGTGAAGCGCTAGTAGGACCTCCTTTCTTGTCCTGGCTAGAACAAGCATTTTCACGGCTTGGTGAAATCATGGTCGATCCGACTTGCTTCTTAGGAGACCCTAGGTCATCCAGAGGTACATTCAATTTGCGCTTTTTTGATTCTAGCTTTGGGGGAGTAAGAGATCCTCTTGGAACAAGCTTGAACGTCGCTTTATCCTTGTTTGGGGGACTGTTAAGAAGGTCGTCATTCCCATCTTGTTCTGTCAAGGTCTTACGTTCTTTTCCATTCCCTTTGCCTGCCAATAAGTTAACGCGAGGACAAGAACATGGCAACGCGACAAACCTTTTTTCGTTTGTGAATCCTGTGAGCCACGGAATGCTTGCGATCCTCTTGAAGCCTGTGGCCCCTTGCCGGATTTGAAATAGCCATATTTCACTTTAGAATTCGAAGACTTGGTAAATCCTCGCGTATCCTTGAAGTGATTTGCTGGGTCGTCTCTAGACTCGGAAGCCACCCTCCGTCGTTTGGAGCTTGAAGAGGATGTTTCTTCGGTATCCTCGGCCGTCGATTGCTCACTCGCTCGCTTTTCTGTCCCTCGTCCTGTCTTCTCTCGAGACTTGCCAGCACTTGAAGTAGGGAAGTTCGTGCGTTTAATATTCCCTCGATTTGATCTTTCTGGCCCAGAATCATCTGAGTCAGAAATTGTATGATTCTTAGCACGGCTTGATCTCAACTTCAAATCTGCGACTGGTGGCGTTTCTTCCTTGTCCTCGCCCTCATCCTCGTCCCCGGAGGACACTGGGGGAGCAGTGAAATCTTCAGGCTCCTGCTGGAGCTTTTGCTTTTGCTTTTTATTGACATTGGCATTGAATGTGCTGAGAAGTGTCGCGGGTTTTGAGTGTTTACTCATCCCTACTATCCTAGGATTCATGGTTTGTTGTAAGATTTCCCCTCCTTATCTCGTGATGCGAAAACAAGATAGATCGATGGGGATGCTATGCTCCAAGTTTTGAGTCGCAATCTGTTCGTAAAGGGAGAGGCGTCAAAATAGCTCCATGCAGTAGATTTGTTATAGATAAGAAACAGAAGTAGTAAAAGAAGATGATTGATGAAGCGATCACTCGAACAATGCCCTCATCAGTGTTTGATTGTTGATTTCGTAGGCTATTTGGTGAGAAAGGCTGTTAGTAAGAGGTTGGCTCACTTGCAAGCAAGGGTTGTAGCGAGTTTACGCGTAGGTAAGGAGGCAGGCAGGCGCACCTGCTTTCCATGACAAACGCGCTCCTGCCAAAATTGACCCCGCCCTGTAACAGCCTATCTCCTATCACTGGAACAGAAAGTTTAGCGCCCACAGGGGCAAACGTCCAACATTAGCGCTGCAGGTAGCCCATTCATGGTCAGTGCTTCAGTGCTCGGAAGCCGAAAAGGGACACCTACCGACCACTGGAGTTGTTGTCTGAATCAAGTCGCTTTCCAACCTTGAGCGTCACGACGAACTTCGGAGCTTTGGGTTAGCTTTGGAAAAGAGTCCGTTTGCTCGCGAATTCGAAAAACAATAACTTTTGGCGACAGTAACGATGGCCCTCAACCGGAAGTACGCAGCTTTGCCAGATCTGGTGAGTTTGCTGTGGCTACAACAAAGCCAAACATCCAATGTTAACTATCTATCTAGGATTCCGCTCCAGACATTTACGAAACTCCTGAGCTCACAGACGATAACTCAACGGTTCCCGTAAGCTTCATCCGAATTGGATACGACACAACTTTACTCATTCAGCCTACAGACGACCGCTGCTCGAACACACTCGGACGATGAGTTCTACGATGTAGAGGACGAGACACCTGGCATCTCTAGGTCTCGTTTGCGAATAGACGAAGCTCGCTCTCGTTTTCTTCCCACGAACGTCGATGCGAACGGAGTGGACTTCTCAGACCGAGTTGATGGGAAACGCAAATCGTACAAGGCCTCCAGTCGTAGACAGCGCATACTGCATGACGGGACTCAGGAGCTTGGCGACCTCTCGGACGATGAAGATGACGAAAGCTTGGAACGACGTATTGCTCGCTTGAAGCGAGAAGTAGAAGAAGCCAAGAATGAATATGCGAGGCGAAAGGCCGAATCTCAGGCGCAGGAAGACACCAATGAGACAGCTGGCGATGATAGGTTGACTTCCCTTAGCCAAGTGTTGGACGAGATCTCGAAGCCTACGGGCCGTCCAACCTCAGTCCGAATGCCAAAACCGATCACACCCTCAAGTCCGGAAGAGAAAAACGAAATGGCATCAGGAGATGATGCAACTTACACGGTGACATACGCACCAACATATGAACAAAGCCATGCTTTGGCCAAGGCTGCTGATTTTGACCGCCGATTGTTGATGCTGGAGAAAGGCTTGGGAATCAACGCTTCATTGATGCCAGAGGCTGATGCCAATGGCCTTCCTCGTGCTATTCTACCGACTTTGGATTCTATGAACAAGCAAATCTCAACGCTATCAGAGGCTTCTACCGCAAACTTGGATGCCATCAGCCGGCGAGTACGGACTCTGGCGCAAGAACAAGACAAACTCAATGACTCCAGGGAAAAAGCAAAATCTCTGAGAGAAGAGCTCGGCCGTAACGGCTCTGCGGCGCAAACCGAAGAGTCTGAACAAGAAGCAAAGATCAATGCTCTCTACGGAATTCTTCCTACAATTGAGAACCTTACCCCTATACTCCCGCCTCTCTTGGACCGATTGCGATCACTCAGGGCTATACATGCAGACGCTGCGACTGCGAGTGACACATTGACCCGCATCGAGAAACAGCAGGCAGAGATGGCCGCAGAATTGAAGCAATGGAATGAAGGTCTTGTGAAGATCGAGACTGCTATAAAGGAAGGAAACGTTTCCATCGAGAATAACAAGCAGGTCATGGAGGAATGGGTCAAGGACCTTGAGGAGAGAATGGAGGATTTATGATTGATGATACGTTGGTCAGATACCCTAGCAAATAAACCGAGTCGTTATGAAAATTTGTTATTCTAGCCTGATGTATAAAGCCCTCCTTAACACATATTCGACACAGACTGTGAGTTTATGGAGCATCAAGTCCACTTCTGTTTAGAGTTTAGGTTCTGTTTGAACTCATGATGAGCCATGACGCCACGATGCACTGCCACATGGCTGAGTCATACGGCTCACATAATAGTCCGACGCCGAGCCCAACCATATGCGCCTTCGGTTGCTATAGTGGGTCAAGGGCTTTGGCACGAAAACCCTGACGTTCTCACAAAAAAGTTGTCCCAAACAAGCGTCAATCTACAGCTCACGCCCGCGACCACCGCCCAATCCACCAATTTCCCTACAGTACGGCGATACTCCCGATCCAACGCGCATTTTCCCATCCAGCTTACCATCCTTCAGGTCGCAACAATGGACGCCTCCAAGCAGCCCGTCAAGCTCGTCAAGGTCACCCGAGTCCTCGGCCGAACCGGTGCGTTTTTACACTCCCCACGAATTTTGATATGGACGGAGCGAAATATCAAAAATATCGCCATCAAGCGACGGAGTAATTGAATAAATTTCTGACTCAGTTGGATAGGTTCCCGTGGTGGTGTCACCCAGGTCCGCGTTGAATTCATGGACGACCAGACCCGATCCATCATCCGAAACGTCAAGGGCCCAGGTACGATTAATTCTCGAAAAACCCCCTCGTTATGGAGCCCCATAGGAGGGGACAAAAGTAGGAATAATCAAGAATTGCGAATGCTGACTTGTGACCGATACAGTCCGTGAGGACGACATCCTTTGCCTCCTCGAGTCCGAGCGTGAGGCCCGACGACTACGATAAATGTGCATCTGGGGAGCATGGGGTTCTTGGAAGACGGTCAACGACGGATGGTCTATGCATGCTGAGGCGTGCGCGCCTTGTATTGGGACATTGACCTGGAGCTGCACATTACCCTTTTGGCACTCCAGTTTCATTTGTTAGAGGAGTCACACGGACGGGTCTGGGATAACGAAAAATTCCAGAACAGTTCTTCTTCTGCATGCAGCATTGGAATCCGACGAAAAGTGAAATTCATTCTTGTTTCTCTCGCGCACGGCTTCCTCTTTCTCCTCATCAAACGCACGCCTCGCGCCCTCTCGAAGCTCAGACAAGGAAATGGATTGGGGGGAGGATATGCAGTCAACACGTGCTACGATAATTCAATGACCTCGGTTTTGACATTGACCTAGCAACAGGAGAATTCATGCCTCTTTTAATGACAGATTGTTCTCCATAACTAACCTCGCTTCGCATCGTGAGTTCCTGGTCACGTGCAGTTTTTGAACCTCAAATTAGGCGGGGCGGCCAGAGGAAATCTTCACTTCTTCAACCTTCCAACATCTCACAAGATTCTTCAAAGCTTCAACACCTCTATTGGTAAGTCAATACTACTATTTGCTTTACACACACCCATTGGGAATGATGCTTTTTAGCATGTATTACCTGAAACATACATTGATGTACATTTTTATCACCAAGATCTCTGACCCAAAATACCCACTCACACTTGTTGTCGCACCTTTTCTTCAGGCCGGCTGGCTAACATACAAAAAAGAATCTCTTAGGTCTATCACTCGTAATGTCAGTACCCAAGCCTCCGGCCGGACATTTCAACGTCCTTTTCTTTGCCAGTGCGAGTTCCTTCACTGGCAAAGACCATGAAGCTCTGCCAGCCACTATGACGCTCAGCAAGCTCTTCGCCGAGCTCGAGAACAGATATCCTGGCATCAAGGCAAAAATCCTTGATTCGTGCCTTGTTACTGTCAACCTCGATTATGTAGACTTGCCCAATGAGGAGGGGGCAGAAGACACGATGATCCGCGAAGCAGACGAAGTGGCAATCATCCCTCCCGTCAGCTCTGGTTAACGGATATCGAGTGCTAGTCGAAAAATCGCTCAGCGTCCCAATTGTGACCTTTGTACCTCGTAGCCGCATTGTAAAGGTCTTCTCCTAGGGACCTCCGTTGTCTGGTCGATCTTCTGGTAGCAACGGTTCACGCTCTCCATGTTGTGCCAATGCCCTGTTCCGGTGATGGTTCTGTAACCTCCACCAGCCAGGATTCTTTTCGTGATAATGCCGGAACCAACGAGCGGCTAACGCAAGTAAGACCATGAGCAGAACGAAGGTCAAAGTTGATGCGATTGTAATAATGGCTGTGAGGCTCGTTATTGATGAAACTTGACACCCTAGAGGCCGTGACCGAAGTTCCCATCGCTCGGCCCAGTGCGGACAGACGTGCTCATCATATGCTGGAGCGAGCAATGGAATCCTGCTCATATTGGGCACACAGGACCATGTCTGTTACTTGGTTAGATTGAGTATGTTACATTTAGACTCTCTTATAAAGCATTGGGAGCCGTACAAAAGGACACCAGCTGCATTGCGAGGTCGCCAGGCAACCTTTGCAAGTTTGATGTTTCCAGCATCGTTGGAAATGTTGGTGATCATAGTTTCCGTGCAAAGTAAAGTTGGCTCGGAATGTCTGGATGTCACTGTGAGAAAGCCACGAAGAGTCCATCATTGCTTATCAGAATGAGAATTATTATGGGAAATTTCAATATGAATACAATGGCAGACGGATTGGCCGTCATCATATCGGAGACCAGAATGAAGCTGAGCGGGGAATACCATTCCATCATACATCGACCCCCTGCAGCCACACACCTTGAAACAATACCTCATACAACACTCGTTTTTGGCTATTATGGCATTTGAAGCTCTCCTGTTCATACAAATCCCAGAATTCTATCATTCGAGCGACAATTCAGTAATGCATGTGATGCATCCAAGTAAACAAATAGTGGCCAAGTTAATCATATATCACCATGTATTTATTGTATGCTGTATCCATCAGAGCATGGCTGGTCCTCGTGCCTGTCGAGACCTCCTTACTCGCCGCTTCACCTCTCTAATTTCTGCTTTCCTTCTTTTGGCTCTTCTCTCTTTTACATCTCGAGCCGGATTATTGCCCAGATTCTCAAGTGGCATGAGGTCAGATAAGAACCGCCGGATGTGCAGACCAGTCTTCTCGCGTATGAAGGCATCGATTTGCTCATTGCAAGCTGCTGAAGCTGCGATATGTAACCCTCTTAGTACATCTCGGTCTAGGATTTCTCCTTGGTCATATTCTCGAGTTTTCGTTTGAAGGCTTCGAATCGATGACATTCTTTTTGGGACGTTCGGCCGGCCGATCTTGTGTCCGGAAAACCCCCTTGAACAAACGGTGACGTGATTAGGTGAAATCGAAGAACCGTAATGATTGTCCTCTTTATCTTGTGGCGTGTTTCCCTTGCCTTTGTCGCGGGAAGCCTTCTCTGGCGTGAATGGCAAGGTATCAGCCTCAGTAGACAGCCTGCAATCTTCTCCCATGGAGCTTGTTGTCGATCCAGGGTGAGGTGGCTCTGGTAAAGGCTTTTCGTATCGGTTGGCCGACTGTACACGTTGAGGGACAACTATGTCGGCGCTCAGGCTATGGGAGCGTCCCAGAATGTTGTGTGCTAAAACGGGCTGGTTAAGGCTTTTTGACGGTCTGACTGATCTGGTGCCTGGGCTCTGGCCCTGGCTGACTTTTGTTAAACCTGATACGTGTGTACGAGTGCCGCTTTCTACACGAGATCGACGATTATTCAAGGATGGACCAGCGCCATGCGGAGCAGTTGATCTTTTCGACATGCTTGAGCGACCAGCAAGCGTCTTTGGGCTTGAAAAGAAGGCTGCTGTGGTTTGTGTCTGTTTCCTTCTGCTTTGAGGATACTGTGAATAAGATTTTTCTGTCTGTTTCTTGTGATCCCCTCGCTGACACGACTTTCCTTTCTCCGGGGATACCGTGTTAGGCCACTCGGGAAAAGAATGCATATGGGTTCTGGGAACTTTTGATGTAGGCCCAGTCAGCAACTTCTTCTTGGGGGTGTTAGAGTACAGTGGCCTTGGTTTCTGTGCAAGTTGAAGGCAATTCTAGCCACTACAATGGCACAAATTCCCAGACTGGCATGAATTGCAGTGAGTCCTAGGTGCTTGGTCTGCAGCTGTAGTTCTCTTTCGTGAGCGCTCGTCATTATCGACCAATGCATATCGCCATTCGTCCATGTCCTCAGCAGCGGGAAAAGGAATCTCTGTACTCGAGCTTGGACATCGGATGGCACTATCCACTTGGCCAAGATGCGGTTGCTTGGAGAGTAATTTTAAGTCCGGGGTTGTCGTAGTTCGATACTTAAGAAAACCAGGGTAGAATTGCTGGTTTGATTGATCTTTTGAAGTAATAGCTAGCCCAGCAGCCTTGAATTCGGAACGGAAGGGGAGAAGTGCAGCTATCGTCCGGAGACTTGCACCAGACCTAGGCGGTGTTGGGGTTAAGACTGGCAGCTTTCCTTTGGCGCCTGACTGCTCAGCGTACTGCTGAAGCTCTTGGGTGAAATGATCGAGTGCTTCTCTTTGACTTGTAGTCCTTGACTCATTTTCAAGGCTATCTGATATTGGTGGTGCCGCTTCCTTCTGGTTGTGCTTTGCCCGTGAGGATTCATCCTTGATCGTTAGCAAGTGTAGTTGTTGTGCGATATTTCTCGAAATAGCTTCCACAAGTTCATTGTCCAGGCTGGGGTCGTTTTTTGTTGTGGAAGTACCCGCAACGACATCTGCGTCAGGGACTCGCGATGGTGTCACATATCTATGCGTCTCTGTCGTTTTAGGATGGCCTCTGAAGGATGAGGACGAGACTCTTCTTGGGGGTGTTAAAACATCCGTCTCAGACATGTGCAGCGAACTAACAGGCTTGTGTCTGTTCTTCGTGATCATCGGACTAACCTCCGAGGTATGGCCAGGACTGGAAAATATTCCAGGTCTAGACTGCGTATCTTTACCCAACCGAACTTGGTTGTCGGTCACTGGATCGCCTGTTGAATTTCTCTCAGTGGCTCCAGGTGGCTCAATGGCGTTCTCGGGTGATCCATCAGACGAGCTTGAATACGATGTGATATGAACTGGGAAAGAAAATCGCTGTCGGCCGTGGCGTTGACTTGTGGATGTTCGATGGCGTACGCGTACATGCCGTCGTGGTAGAAAGATGATTCGCCCGCGACTTCCTGAGCTATCACTGATAGGGTGAGATGGACGTGTGTTGGTAAAGGGGGGAGGATTAGAAGAAGCAAGATTAGACGATGATGTGGCCATTCTGCAATATACAAGTTGTGCGGTTCCCAAATAACTTGAGTGATATGAAGAAGAAGAAGAAGAAGAAGAAGAAGAAGAAGAAGAAGAAGAAGAAGAAGAAGAAGAAGAAGAAGAAGAAGAAGAAGAGTTGATTATGGAGTCATAATACAATGGAATGGAATGGTGATGATGAAGATGAAAATGAGAGAGTTTGCTGAGTCCGTGATATTCCGAGAACTTGCTTTGCGAAAGGTCCCTTCCTTTGGGAGATGTTGCAGACATAATTCTTGTCGAGTTGGAAGAACTGTAGAAGGAAAGGGATGATGTCGTTTATTTAATGTCCTTGATACCGGGTGATCCATAGACTTCCAGTTGGCGTCGTCCCTTCCGCAAGAGGAACTCGATGGCAGCAAAATCTCTTTTGTCTATGCTCAAGTTTCGAGCAAACTCATTTCTATACCAACATTAGAAAGGACTAATATACGTTTAGAGCAACGAACCTCGCAAAGCTCTCAAAGTGTGGTCGAGTAGCCTTGACAGTTTCAGTGTCAGTCACCAACAATAAAAGTGAACAACCTCGGCATTCATTCATACCTGTGGCTTCTTTCGCGTCTCTCTGAGACAATTGCGGTAGAGGGCAAGAACCTCTTTTTGAAGTCCCGATAGGCGAGCCATTATGACTTGACGGGATCAAGGTAGTAAAAGTGAGTGAGTAATTGAAGGTTGAAGAATTGAAGTGAGTGTTGATGTAATTGATCAAGTTCAGTAGAATAGAAAAATATGGAGCCCCGGGAGCCTCTATTCATGTTGTGGGGACAAGTCACCTCGAGAGCATTCAACAACACCTGGGCTGACTCTCTAGCTCTCCCATCCAAAACCGCGGAAATGTAGGGAGCGTTACATTGTAGATAACTTACTATAGTATTTGTTTCTTAGTCTATCATCTTTACAACGTGGTTCCAACAATATAGTGCCCATCTCCAGAACCATCCGACTCTGGCGCGAATATACTGTCAGCATCGCCTTCAATCTCCTCATACTCCCACTCACTGAGGAGCTTCTCCCTCTCCAATACAACAGCTTCGAGCCATTTGTTCTCGGCTGCCATACGCCTCACCATCTCTCTCTCCTTCTCCTTGCAAGAATCGTCCAGTCTGTGCTTGGCGCTGTACATGAGCTCTTCTCTGTAGCAACTGTTATCTTGAAGTTTGAGCTCAAAGTCCTTGAGCTGCTCAGCCTTCCACTTCTGCCAGCCATACTGTTTCTGATCCATGCGCTTTCTCAAATCGAGCATCGCATTTTCTATCTCTTGATCCCCGTCTTTTCTATTCCTCCAATACGCTTTGAGTCGCTCATGGTAGGCTTGTTCGAGATCATTCTCTTGAGCTGCCCGAATTTGGAAATCTTTGTTCAAAGCGTCTTCCTTCTCGGCCATCTTCTCCAAGATGATGGTATTTAACTCTGACCGTTCTGATTCGTGCTTCTTTTCCAAAGATTCTTTCGCGGATTCAATGCTGATGACCATATTCCTACCCTCCTTTTCCTGGTCGACTTCGAGCAATACTTGCTGCAACTCATGTAATTGGTCGAGTAGAATCCGTAACTCTTGATACTTGGTTTCAATATCCCTGCGACGAATGCTTTCCTGTCGAACTCTCTCCTCGAGCTCGCGCTGTCGGCGTTCTTCTTCTAACCGTTCCTGTTCCTGTCGTAGCAGTTCAGCCTTGAGAGCTTCTTCGCGCTCAAACTCTTCTATCTGCAGGAGAGCCTGTCGTATCTCCTCAGCTTCCACTAGTTCGTTGGCTCGTCTTTCTTCTCGTCGGGCGGCAGCTCCGTCTTTGACTGCTTGAAGGTGCTCCATTGTGCATTCGCAAGTGCGCCAGCGCCTCTCACAGACGTAACAGAATTGGTTCCCGCATCGACAAGTTATGTGCTGACAGGCCTCTCGATGTTCGACCAAAGCATGGCATTTTGAACACCTTTTCCACCCTTCGTCTTCGGCTAGCTGGTTCGTAAGGTTCATATCAACATCTTGAGGGCACTCTTCTTCCCCATGAGCTGGCCCTCGGCACAATGTACACGTTAGGTGAGATCGATCGCAAATACCTCTACGCCTGCTTTGGTTGATTCGTTTGGGCTTTATCCAGAGACTGCAGTTAGGTTCACTGCAATAGACTCGTTCGCTGACTGGGAGTTCCCACTCCTTGGACCGGTCCTCAAACGTCTTCTTCAAGTTAGACGGAATGAATCGAAGGACAGTTTTGACGGGGATCTCATTCAAACAACATCTAGGTGGCCACTGCTGCTCATTCTGGCATGCAGCGGAAACTAGACGGACAAAGCAATCGCGGCAGTAACTATGGCAAGGCACCTTTATGACATCCTTGGGGTGAAAGTCGTCAAGACACGACACACATTCACTGCCGCTCATTAGTAAGGGAAAGCAATGGTAAAAGGCAAGACCTACACTTCCTCGGCGGTATCGGCCTTGGTCAAACAACTGAGGCTCTCCTTGCCAGTTTCGGCCTCTCCATCTTCTTTTTGTAGAGCCCTTAAGACCGCGCCTGTCGCACTACTTTCGCCCTTTTCGTTACTGCGCTGGAAAAACCGCCGAAGCGCAACAAGACGCTTCTTGTTTGCCTTGGCCTCGGTCTTTGTAGCAGCGACGCTGGGGCCAAAGGTTGTCATGAGTATAACAGGTTTAATCTTGGGGACATCTCTTCCTGTGTCATCTTGGGCAGGTTTCTCAACAGGAATGATGATGGGCAGATACGGTTCTTTGTTCTTGCCTTTTTCGATCTCTTGAAGGTGTCGTTGAGCCTCGGCTTCTTTTCTCTGACGATCCTCTTCGATATTCCTTGCTTTGACGTTCTCAACTGATGACTGCAGTATATCAAGGAGAACCTGGGACGTTATGTTGGGTGTCTTTCGCAATGCACCAGGCGGATCGTATGTGCGCCAGTCAAAGTCAACATCGTCAAGGGTTGGCAAGTTGTTAGTGGACCAGGTAGTTCGCGGTTCCCTATTATTCCAAGTAGACTCTGGGTTGTCAAGAACTTCGAGAGGGTTCTCATAAAAGTCAATGTAATCCTCAGGTCCGAAAGCGCCAGGCATGAGGGGCTGATCTCGGCTCAAGCCAGTCATGCCTCTCGCTATATGTTCCGAGACGGCGATTCCTCTCTTGAGTGATCAATGAGTGTAGCGGGCAGTTTATCGCCAACAAGGAAACAAAATAAAGATATGGTTAAAGATTTGAACGACTCGGTTATATATACGATAAAGCGCTCTGGTACATAACAAACAAGACGGACGGAAGAGTGTCTCAGCCCCGCCAGGTATGGCAGCTCGTTGGTTAAAGCCTGAAGGTGCAATGAGTCGACAGGCCAATCCTCCTTTGACTGGTTGAGACGGACTACCTATGTAAGAGGCATATGGGAGCCAACATGGGTGTAGTATCCCCAGATTTGAGTGCAAGCCTGCTGACTCTGGGAAATGATATGACCAAGCTGCCGCCTTTACTAGCTCAACTAGGCATTCTCCAAAAGCTAAGTCAGCCCTGAGGCGATGCTGAAGCGAAGCTATCGCGCCCTGGAATGCCTTGGGATAGTGCATGGTCTTGTTGAATACCTGTGGCCCACCAATAAAACGTCCTATGCTGTAGCACGCACACATATCCCTTGTCACTTATAGAGTGTTGCTGCAAAGGTGGGCGAAGTGGCACCGGTACAGATTGCTAGTAAAGTGACCATTAGGAACAGGACCGAGGTTCAGCTGAAGCTTCTAGCGTGTCCTCGGGAGTGCGCGTGGTCCAAAAGGGATCATTGTAGCCTAAGAAGGATGAAGCAACATGAATAGAGTAACAAGGGGAATAATCATATTGCATTAGGTATACGACCTACCAAGACTATAAATATCGATACTATCTAAGTAGCTGGGCGTTGAACCAATCCACTCACCAGTACATCCAATGAAGAAATGGATTGTAAGCCCAAATAACCTAACAATTTAACTTGGTAATATAGAAATAGCCGTACATCCTTCGCTGATGAGTTAAACACTTTGTATTATGGGAAAACTGTATAGGCTCTATGTTTTTCTAGGTAGGTTAGTAGATACTAACTTGATAGATCAAGACATGGAAAACATGTATTCACTTTCGTCTTGTTCTAAGAGACAATCTGATCACGTGCTCGCGACTTGCACAAAAAACCTCTTTCCTAGGCAAATCTACCTAACCAAGCTATTCGATTGATTGTTGGACCCAAAAGTTGTTTGCAGTTCATAAAGCCATAAAACTGATTTATTGAAACTTGTCTTGCAATATGTCCATCGGCGAAAAGGGTGAGTCGGCCCAGTAAGTTCATCTTGCAGAGTCCAGGGTATGCCCTTTTCTAACATAACGAATTAGTCCACTCAAGATCTTTGATGTCACTAGGAAGCAAGATCGTTTCTTATATGTTCTCGCGCCCATGGTCCGGTATGGAAAGGTTTGTCAAGGCTTGTCATACCCAAAGCACAAATTTCTGATTTATGACAGCTTGCCTTTCGACAAACGGTTCACAAATATGGAGTTGATCTTTGCTGGTCCCCCATGATTCTCGCAAAGGAGTTCAACCGTAGCAGTTTTGCTAGAGACAGTGGTGAGTGAATCCGTAAACAAGTTCAAGTAGAATCTAACGTATACACATAGACTGGACCTTCTCTACTCAACCCAACCAACCGCCCACTATTGTGCAGTTCGGTGCAAATGTACCCCTGGAACTCGCTCGTGCATCAGCACTCGTTGCTCCTTCTAGCCAGGGTGTTGATCTCAACTGTGGATGTCCCCAATCTTGGGCCTGTGCTGAGACGCTGGGCGCTGCTTTGATGAATCACCGTGAGCTGGTTCGGGATATGGTTGTCGAGACCAGACAACGCCTGGCAAGTGACGGATGGGGTGTCGGCCTTGAGAAGGATATCGACAACCCCAAAGGTCGAAGTGTAAGCGTGAAAATCAGGATTCACAACGACCTCAGGTATGACTTCCCTCCACTCGAAACAAATTCGTCACTAACTTCCCAAGACAAACTATGGATTTTATAGATACTGTCATAGGGCATCCCCAGAATCGCTACATTGACTGGCTCACGATTCACCCACGAACAAGATCGACACCATCAACCACCCCAATCAGGGCCGAGGCTCTCGAAATTTTAACAGAGAAATACTCAAAGACGCTCCCTATTCTCCTCTCAGGAGACGTCTTCGACCTGTCGGCCCTCCCCTTCCAGCCCACCATTACCACCAACAATGATGCCCCCCTTCCATCTATCGACAAACTGGTTCTCAATGACACAGACTCTGCTGTCAACATGGCACGTCCCAGCAACACTCATCTTTCAGGCTTCATGTCTGCTCGTGGCCTTCTTGCTAATCCCGCCATCTGCGCCGGCTACTCGGCTTGCCCCTGGGAAGCTGTCGAGACATTCATGTGCAAAGTGGCGCGGGCTCCTGTGCCTTTCAAGCTGGTCCAGCATCACATCATGGAGATGACAGCGCCTGGAATGGGGCCCGACAAGACCTCGCTTCTGGAAAAGAAGGAGCGTGCCGAGATTATGAAGTTGGCCAATACATGCGAGATTGTCGACTTTCTCGACGAAAAGATCGAAGAGAAGACTGGGAGAGTTGGTGGCATGAGACGGGACCTGTGATTGTGTCCCGGTTACGTCTTACAACAAGCACTGGCTACGGAGCGACAAGAACATGGTATCTCATTCAATGCATTCATAACTATAAAACCCATTCTCTGATATCCTTGCTACAGAGTTTCCTACGATCCGTCTCTTACACCAACGCTCAAAGGCCACTCAGCACGCTCTGAATCCCTGTCGTTCCCGAGTCATCACGCCTCTGTACAAATGCTCTGAAATCCGCTCTGGACAACTTGCCCCTTACGCCTGTGGCCGCCAGTGTTCGTGTCTTTTCTCGGAGCGCTTCGGGTCCGACAATAAATAGTGAGCCAATCTCGGTGAGCATTTCGACGGCAGAGCCAACCTCTTTGGTCATAGGCCACTCCCGCATGGTGGATACATACTTTGCGATATCCTGCGTCACCATAAGACCGCCGGTTGCATTGACCTGGAACTTCTTGAAGTGCTCAAAGAGGAGCTTGAGAAGCACCAGTGCTAGCTCGGTGAAGAACTTCTCAGAGTTTTGTCCGTCAATGGCTTCCCGAGCGAGACGGTGGACGCGGGCCAGGAATGTGCAGATACTCAAACACGTCTGTGTCTGAAGTGAGTCAAGATCGACCTCTTTCGGCCTGAAATCCTGCTTCTTTTGGCCAGCAAGCGACTTGGTCACCCAATTGGACACAACGTCAATGGTGCCCTTCATGACGTTGTTTGTCTTCTTTTCAATGTTACTAATGGCTACCCTTTTCTGCGCCTCCATACTCCGCCTAACTGTTGTGTTTGATTCCGCAAGACGTATGAGGACGACTGTGATGAATCGATCCATGAGACTTGTAATTGTGATGGCTGGATGAATCGTTGGCAAGTACGATAGGTCAGGTTCGGTTTTTGTGTTTTCTTGCACAGAAATCTGATCAATGGCAGCGTCAAGGGTTGTCTCGATATAAACCTGACCCAGACTTGTCAGGAGTAGGTTGAGGAGGGTGTTCACATCCTTGGGAGTATCAGTCTGGGAGCCGAGCTCAAGTGTACGCTGAACGCTCTCAGCCAACCACTTGAGCATGCGCTTGGCATTTGCTACGCTCAAAGCACCGTCTTCTTCTGAAACCTCGATTTCGTTCTTGTTGTCCTTGTCCTTATCTTGGACGCCGGCAACGCGCAACATCATGCGCTTTTGTGTAGGTGTGAGTTCTGAAGAGTCAAGACGCTCGATGTAGGCGTCCTTTGCTGACGCGATTAGCTGCGTACCCTGCTGGGCTAGCGATGCCATAAATCCAGTAGGCGCCTTCTTCTTCCTCGAATGGTATATGCTGTACTTGAACAGCAGAGAGCTGTACATTTCTTCCAAACTCTTTCTTTCTCGGTCAATGTACGAGTTGCCGATCATGTATGGTACAAAAAGCTCTTCCATTTGCTGGTCGAGGGTGTGGGCTATTGAAGCTGAGCAAGGCTCTGGGTTTTCCGTCAACCCATGGGATTTCAAGTCTTCGACTAGTGTTCCGAGATATGTTCTTGACGAGTGCAGAGCTCTGAGGAAAGCCAGTGATGAGATTTTGAGAGTTTCGTCCAATACCATTTCGAGCCTCTGTTGGATTGACTGCTGAAATATTCGTTGAATGAACTTGATGAGCACTGTTTCGTAGTATGGGAATATGAGCTTGATCTGGTTGGACTCATCCTGCATCACAATCTTGATCTCGTCGAGCAGGTTTTGCAAGCTTGGCTCTACCGTCGGTGGCTCTGAGTCGGGATCCGCCAACTGTTCCCAAGTGTCGCTATCCACTTGAACCTCATCAGCGAGGAGTTGGTCGCGGTCCAAGAAGAATGCATGCTGGTTGACAAAGGTCGCAATCACACTGGCACCCCCATTGAAGTCGTAGAGAACCTTTGCACATTCCATCATGTCGCCGTAGTTGCCCTTCTTGTTGCTGTTTTCAAATTGCTGTAGAAGATCCTGTTCGAGTGTTTCGCAGAACTTTTCCAATACCTCTCTGGTGTTATGTAGTCTCACGTTGCCCACAATGCCATTTGTGATCCCGCCGTTTCTCTGGCCGTTTGTCTGCCCCCATGATGTCGGGTCCAGTCGTTGACTTATGCGCATGAGTTGACGAACAATCATGGCGCATCGCACCTTGTGTTCAGAACCGGCCTGGCGCTGGACGTCTTGTAACATTGACAGCTTACCCGTTTCGCTGACCTCTGTCCAACACTGGATTAGGAATATGGCGTCGTTAGCTCGCCTTCGCTTCTTGTCCAAATCCTCGAGCTTCTCTCCGATCTGCAGTGCCACGTTGCCGTGTGCGTGGGACTTGATGCCGATTCCATTCTTGTATGAATGTTCTTGGTTGAGAGAGAGGTCTAGCTGTTCGAACGCCCGCATAGACTCGTCGAGCTTTTCCCCTAGTGTTTCGAGAGTCGAATCGTGAGCTACCTCTGCGCGGCGCA